CCTCCAACTCCTCTCCGCTCTTGTGAGATTTTAATATCTCCTTCGGGTGTATATATTAGGAGGTTTGAGAAATAGTAGTGATATAGAAAAATTAGATTCACTGCCTAAATAGGGATCTTTTTGAGATCTTCCTCTGGGGGATATTGTGGAACTTTAACTTTAATGAATTGATTTAATGGATGGGGAGTGCTGGGGAGGTGGGTGGGAGGAAGAGCTGCCCATGGGCAGAGTACAACCTCGAATACTAATCAATAGTGGCGTTTAGGTCCACAAATGATTAATAGGCATATTAGAAGCCTAAAAGTGGGGGAGGGGGAGGTGGGAGGGAAGGAAGGGGTGGGGAGTGGGATGAGAGGGGTGCAATGGGGGAGGGTGGGTAGGAGGGAACAGGAAAAGGGTATTAAAGTCAACACTTCAGGAAAGTGAGGAGAAAAAAAGAGATATAAGAAGTATGGAAGACTTACGGTTTATAACATATAATGTAAATGGACTGAATTGTCCTGGGAAGAGATTTAAGCTATTCAAGGAGTTGAAACATAGAGAAGCATCGGTGGTTTTTTTTTGCAGGAGACACATCTTGAGATTAAATCAAATATTAAGTTGAACTCTAGGTGCTAAAGGGGTGTAACCACATATTAACAATAGAAATTCTGAGGAACCTCTGCACACTGGTATATGCCCTTTCAAGCAGACTATGCAATAAATAGCGATATTTTGTTCACACATCTTGCAATACATGCTTAAGCTGGCCAACTGCGTCAAAGTAATCCCTCTATGGCCAGTCCTACTCTGCTCTGCCTACGCAAATGCTACTGTGGACACAATGCTAGCATAGGGGAAAAGACACAATGGGGAGAGCTACAAGGTTCAAAAGGGTCCTCAGAATTTCTAGTGTTAATATGTGGTTACACCCCTTTAGCACCTGATGGATAAATGCATGCACTAGCTGTTGGGATTTGAGCACAGGGATCTCTTGTTTGTTGTATTGTTGGGTCAGTAGCCAGACCTGAACCTTGTAGCTCTCCCCATTGTGTCTTTTCCCCTATGCTAGCATTGTGTCCACAGTAGCATTTGCATATGCAGAGTAGGACTGGCCATAGAGGGATTACTTTGACGCAGTTGGCCAGCTTAAGCATGTATTGCAATATGTGTGAACAAAATATCCCTATTAATTGCATAGTCTGCTTGAAAGGGTATATACCAGTGTGCAGAGGGTCCTCAGAATTTCTAGTGTTAATATGTGGTTACACCCCTTTAGCACCTGATGGATAAATGCATGCACTAGCTGTTGGGATTTGAGCACAGGGATCTCTTGTCTCTTGTTTGGGGAGAGAGGGTAGAGACAATGGGCTGAGAACTTTGTTGCTTATCCAGAAAGTTAGGAAGGGGAAAACTCCGGCGGTGGTGCTTTCGATCGATGCAGAAAAGGCATTCGATAGAGTAGATTGGAGCTTCATGATGGACACTCTGGAGACTATAGGACCGGGAGTTAGAATGAGAGAGTGGATGAAAATTGTATAGAAAGCCCTCCGCGGTTATTTTGGTTAACGGAGAGAGGTCGGAACCTATTGGGATGTCGAATGGAACAAGACAGGGATGCCCACTGTCCCCATTGTTGTATGTATTGTCATTGGAACCTTTATTGGCAACTATTAGAAAAAATATGGACATAAAAGGAATACAGATAGGAGGAATTGAACATAAAGTGGCAGCCTTTGCGGATGACCTGTTGTTCTATGTGGGAACCCTAGGATAACACTCCTAAATTTAAAGAAGAGCTTAAAGGAGTATGGGGAGCTATCAAATTTGAAAATCAACCCGTCAAAAAATGAGATCTTAAATGTAAACTTTCCAAATAGTGAAAAAGAAAAGATACAAAAAGAATTCCCTTTTATATGGAAAGATAGAGAGATAAAGTATTTAGGGGTTAAACTCACTGCTTCATATGCGAACTTGTATAAATCAAATTATATCTCACTTTTAAATGAGATTAAGGAGGAATTAAAGAAATTGGGAGGAGGTAACCTGTCCTGGATAGGTTGCATAAATCTGATAAAAATGGTAATAGTACCTAAATTCCTGTATAAATTCCAGATGATCTCAATTAAACTCCTGGAGGTTTTTTTCAAGGTAATTAAAAAGATGTTAACAAGATATATATGGAAAAAATAAAAAACCTAGAATATTTTATGATTTGTTGAGTAGAAATAAAGAGAAGGGAGGATTGGGAGTGCCATATATTAAGAGGTATTATGGAGCAGTAGTTCTAGCAAGAATTTATGACTGGACACACAATCCAGAGGTGAAAAGATGGGTCAAGATTGAAAATGAATTAAGCGGAGTTAACCTGAGTATAATCATATGGGTACCAGCACAATATAGAGGATTAAACGATACCACGAGTGTTTATACATTAAATGTTTTACAGGTTTGGGATAAACTGCACAAGCTTATGAAATGGGATTTTAATTCACAATTAATGTCACTAAGGAACACAGAGTTTTTTCCTCCAGGTAGGGAAGAGAGCACAGGAAAATGGTTTAAAAAGGAGGATATTCAATTGAGGGATGTTATGGAAGGGCAGGAAGTGAGAACACTTAAGGATTTGAAAGAGGACAAGAGGGAACTTTTCATTAAGATAGATGAGTGGAGATACCACCAATTGAAACACTTTGTTGGGATTCTTCCGAAACCTTTGAGATCGAGAAAGGATTGGAATTTGTTCGAGAGGTTGTTGGAATCACGTGGAGACGGGAAACGGGGCACGGCAAAAGTTTATAAAATTCTCACTGAGTTAGACACACACGCAAAGCCGATGTATATTGTAAAATGGGAAAGGGATTTGGGAACAGAGATAGATGAAGATAAACAAAGGAAAATATATAGACTAACACACGAGAATATAAGCATGAGAGAGGTGGAGGTAAATTAAAAGTGTTTAACAAGATGGCACATCGCACCGAATGTTGAATATAAGATGAATGGGGAGAATGCACTGGAGTGTTGATGGGGGTGTGAAGGGATAGGTATGCTATATCATATATGGTGGGAGTGCCCAAAGATTCAGGGTTTTTGGGAGACAATGGTTCATTTGATTGGGATAATATCTGGGATAAAGATAGGATTGGATCCAGTGGTGTGTTTATTACACAGTACAAAACTATCAGTGAACTAATACAAGGATTCGGGTATATGGTATTATCTGAATGCGGCAAAGGGTCTGATACCTAAGTTTTAGCAAAGGTCAGAGGTGCCGAGAGAAGAGGACTGGGTGGAAAGAATGAATAAGATATGTGGGATGGAGAAGCTGTATTATATGCAGGAAGACAGGGTGGGGTTATATTGTAGGAGATGGGGAAAATGGGAAGATTTTGTGTCCAAGGTGAAATATATGAAGCTGTAGAGTGGGATATGTGAAAATACCTAAGAAAAGATTTAATGGAAAAATGCAGAGGGGGTGGTTTTAAGGGGGGGGGCGGGGGTAGGTTTGTAGGGTGTTGGGGTATTAGATAGGTGGTGGTGGGGTAATGGGAATAAAGATAGAAAGGGATATAAATGATGGTTTTGTATGTTATATGAGAGTAATGATGAAACGTATTTTTATATGAAAAACTAATAAATATTTAAATAAAAAAAAGAACGGATCTGATTTGAGTACCCTCCAATTCTTGTATATTATCCTCTTAACTTCCCTATGCTGTATGGAGAAATTAGTTACAAAAGGACACGTTTGATTAGCTCTATCCTTTCTTGATTGAGATAACATCAACTCTCTATTCATACCGGCAACTTGTTGTGCTGTATGGTCCAAGGTTGCCCTATCATAGCCTTTTTCTCCAAATCTGTTTTTAAGTATTTGGATTTTTATTCTGCCCAGCAACAAAAATATTTCCACTTTAACCAAAAAAAAAAGAGCTGAACAAAACAAGGTAAAATCACATCAAAAACATGTGGAGAACAATGCAAAACAAACTGCAAAAAGCACTGGAGAAAGCATCAAGCAAAATGCATATATGTGAAGCAAGCCTCAGGCTAGATTCACATCTATGCAATTTGCGTTTGATCCGTTTCTGCATTGCTTTTTGCATTGCATTTTTGAATTTGCGTTTTTGATGTGTTTTTTTTGCCATGTTTTGTGGGTTTTTTTTATTTTTCTTGTTGCTAGGCAGATTTAAAACACAACACACATCAAAATGCATCAAAAAAGCAGGAGAAAATGCAGAAAAAATGCACTACGTGCTTTTCTGCAGTGTTTCCATTGAAGTCTACAGAACCAAAAAAATGCAACTTTTTGCGTTCAAAAAAAGTCCTTGACCGTTTCCAAAAACGCATGTATTGTGTTTTTGCTGCAGTTTTGTGTTTCAAATCTGCTTAGCAACAAGAATAAAAAAAATTAAAAAACCCTGCATAACGCAAAATGCATCAAAAATGTGGCAAAAACACAAGTGCAAAAAACGCAATGTAAATCACAATGCAGAAATGCACACAACGCAACCTGCATAGGTGTGAACCTATGCAAAACGCGGTAAACACATCACACCAGAAGTAGTTCATGTACTACTTTTGGTGCGATTTGCATAGACATCTGTGTCAAATGTCTTGCAAATCACACCTGAAATCCACATCTCACCTGTCTTTGAAATTGTGTGACTTCACTGTTAGTCACACTATTTCAAAGTCGGACTTGATGTGACCTGGGGTTTAACACAACCTGCATAGGTGTGAACCTAGCCTGAGATGTGAATGTGTCCCATAGGAAATCAGGTTAATTGGACTGTACTGCGTTTCTGCAAAACGCAGAGGAAAACGCTTCGGTGTGAACCTAGGGTTACAGCATAACCATAAAGAGTTGAAACATAGGTCAATACGTCTGGCGAACACCAGGTGGTGCTGTGACACAAAACTTAAACCTAAAAGCGTGTCATGACGTCAGCGGCGTGCAGAGGTTGGCGGAAGTGCCGCGTCGGCTAAGTTTTCCGTGTGTTTCCTAGGGCTTTGCGATGGAAAAGATGCAGCTCCCGCAGAGCCCCGGCACTTTGTGTTTCGACAAGGATGAGTTCATGAAGGTTCGCTTGGTTGTGGCTCTGACATGTTGTGTTTTGCTGTCCGGCATGATTTGCTTTTAAAACGGATTGTCATTGCTTTGTAGTGGGCTGCCCGGTTTCTGTGGAATAGTCACGGTGCTGAGGGGTCCTCTTTCCTTCTTGAAAAGGGGGGAGATGTTGTGATAATTCGCCTGGGTAGTAGTTTGTGCCCTTCGTGCATAGCATCCAGTATGTGTAGAGTGGTAACATTTAGGTTCCCTGGGCTGTCATAGGTTTGCTGATTCTGGCTTTCACCCAGAGACTGGTGCTGACTGGGGAAGATTACTGGGGTGATTGTGGTCTATAGACCACAAGGAGATTTCATCCTACTTTGACAGGTGAAGTGACATCAGGGTCATTACTTTTGTCCCAGAGCTGGTGAGAGGAGTGGACTGTTCTCCAACCTCTCTATCTGGCCCAAGTCCATTCCTGGTGGGTCCTCTGCAGCATCCTAGAGTAAACTCACATTCCTGCCCCATTCAAACTTGAATGTTTTGTAGCTGGATGCTAAAAAACCCTCAACATCCAAAATCCCCACTGATTTAAGGACCCATTCACACAACAGTGTGGTACAGGAAACCCGCATTTATGCATTTCTCACAGTGCAGTTGTGATCTGCAGTTGGTGTCATTAACATAACCACTTGCTCTCCAGAGGATTTACCCCCCCCTTCATGACCAGTCCATTACTTTACCTGGAAATTGTGCGGTCATGCAACACTGTACAGAAATTAAATTTATTCCAGGTACTTCTATAGCGCCGTCAATTTACGCAGCGCTTTACATATATTGTACATTCACATCTGGCCCTAACCCTCAAGGGGGCCATACAATCTAAGGTGATTTTATGTAATTTCTTTTCCCACAAATAGAGCTTTCTTGCGACAGTATTTGATCACTTCTGCGTTTTGGTTTTTTTTTTTTTATTCGCTATAAACAAAAATAAACCAACAAATTTGAAAAAAAAAACAATATTTTTTTTTTTTTTTTTTTTTTTTGCTATAAAACATGTCCATTAAAAAAATTGAAATCAAATTTTGTCAAAGTTAGGCCAAAATATTCTGCTACATGTTTTTGCAAAAAAAAAATAAAAAATCCCAGTACATGTAAATTATTGTTTTACTGGAAAGTTATAGCGTCTACAAATGGCGGTATGTATACTGGAATTTATTTTTTTTTATACTAGTAATGGCAGGGATCAGCGACTTATAGCGGGACTATGATAGGCATTCTGACACTGGGTAGAAAATGACTAACTGCCACTGACATCCCCAGTAACACTAATACAGTGATCAGTGCTAACAAAAAACACTGACACTGTACTAACACTGGGCAGGAAGGGGTTAATTTTTGGGCGATCAAAGGGTTACCTGTGTGCTGTGTGTGTTTTTGCTATGTGTGCTGTTTTACTACAAAGACATGCTGCATAAGGCAGCATGTCCTTGCTGGCAGGAGAGAGACCTGTGTTGTTTACACATAGTTCTCTCCCCTGTAAGTTTACATAGTGATTGCCAGGTGCTGGCGGGGAATCTCGGTCCGGGACCCGGTGATTGACATCCCTAGCTGCCACGGGTGGTGCAGGTAGGAAGCTGTGTGCCCCCTACCTGGCAATGCAAATAGTGTGTGTGTGTGTATATATATATATAATATATGATTTAGCACAGCCCTGTAGCAGTACTTCTACTATAGGGCAGCAGCCAAATGGTTAAAGTGGTTGTAAAGTCTCAAGTTTTTGTTTTTTTTTTAATCCCTGCATTCTATGCATGAAGGTAAAAAAACCTTTTGTGTGCACCAGCCCCCCTACTACTTACCTGAGCCCCCTCTGGATCCAGCACTGTGCATGAAAGCAGCAGCTCTCCTGGGGTTCTTCCTTCTCATTGGCTGAGACAGCAGTCTCTACTGTCAATCACAGTCAGGGGGCGGGGCCAAGCCACTGTGTGTGTGTGTATGGACAAGCAAAGCAGTGGCTGGGGGTACTTGGCAGGGGGACCCAAGAAGAGGATTAGGGTTGCTTTGTGCAAAACCACTGCACATAGCAGGTAAGTATGACATGTTTATTATTTAAAAAAAAAAATACCTTTAATCTCACTCCAAATGTAGTGCAGTTGCCTTTACTGAATGGCATGGTGCAGTAGTAACATGCAATCCGGTTACTGTGCCTTTCATAAAGTAGTTCATGCACTACATTTGGTGCAGTCCAGCGTGATTTAATTCAATTCAAAGGACTGGACTTTAATTGCACTGCACTTGGATCGCATGTCAATCACCCAGGAACGTAGAGCGCATATCTGTGCGATTCATGTTGTAAACCGGCCCTAAGGTCTCATGTACACTGGAAATAAAAATGCTACTTATACAGGCTACTTATACACATTTGGATGCTAACAGGCAAATTTGAAGAGGCATTTTAAGGCCAGGTTCACACCTGTGCTTTTTTTTAATGTGTTTTGCAGGAACTCAATACATGCCATTTATCATGATTTCCTATGGATCACATTCACACCTATGCATTTTTTGCAGGCGCATTTTTTGTAAAGGGTCAGGGGCTTCTTTTCCTTCAACAGTTTGCGTTTTTAGTCCAATAGACTTTAATAGAACTGCATATGAAACGCAAGTGCTGTGATTTTAACGCGCGTTATAGATGCGTTGTGTTTTTAATCTGTCCAGCAACAAGTTGGCCAAAAAATAAAGCGCATCAAAAACGCATGGATTGAAAATGCAAAACACTATAAAAAGCACTGCAGAAATGGATCAAAAGCAAACTGCGTATTTGTGAACCTAGCCTTACAGGCTGGGGAAAAAAAAAAACCTCACTAGCGCATTTTTGAGAGGAGCTTTTGGGCAGAAAAAAACGTTTGACACACACAAATGCGGCTTTTAGGTGTATTCAGCCTTTTCAAGTATAAATTGATTAATGAAAAATCAGCAGAGGGGAATGTTTTGGAAAGAAAAACCCTTATAAATGCAAATACACATACACACATAAACGTGTGCAGTGCGAGCTGCTATGAGCATTTTTAGGAAGCTTTTTTTTTTTTTTTTTGTCAGAGGTACTGGCATTTTTTTCAGGTCCCTAGTGTGCATGGACCCTAAATAGTGCCTGTTGACACCTGAATGCCCAGGTGCCTGTTGCTCAAAAGAGTACTTAGTTTCAGGCAGATTTAGGCCTCGGTCACATGGGTGTCCTCAAGTGTACGCGTATGTAAGCGCCATGTTTGCCCGCACAGGGATACACAGGCGTTCTGTGCGTTCCTGGGCAGGCAGTCCCATTGATGTCAGTTGGGATGCTGCAGCTGCCAGATTCAGCCATTGCTCCCAATATGACAGCCACGTAGGTGGGTGCAGGTCCCTGAACACAAACTGTGTTCGGGGACCCACACAGATGTCCGATTTGGGAGCAGCAGTTGTGTCCATAGAGCTGCTGCATCTCAATTGACATGATTGGCACTGCCTGTGTTGGGATGCCAGGAACCCCTGTGTGGGCAAACACGGCCATCACACGGGCGTACCCTTAATGACGCCTTTATGATTGAGGCCTAAAGTGTTTTTTTTTTAGCCTCGCAGATTTCAATGGAAGCTCCTAGAATAAAAGCAGGAAAACATTTGCACTAATTAGTCTGTAGTAAAAGAGAACAATCCTGCCCCAGAAAAATATTCACATTCATGTATAGACATACATGCTTACAGTATCTCACAGAAGTGAGTACACCCCTCACATCTTTGTAAATATTTATTACATCCAAATTGGGCCCAATTAGCCATTTTCCCTCTCCGGTGTCATGTGACTCGTTAGTGTTACAAGGTCTCAGGTGTGAATGGAGAGCAGGTGTGTTAAATTGTTGTGCTACATAATGATGACCTAGGCTATAAGTAGATTGCCAAGACCCTGAAACTGAGCTGCAGCACGGTGGCCAAGACCATACAGCGGTTTAACAGGACAGGTTCTACTCAGAACAGGCCTCGCCATGGTCAACCAAAGAAGTTGAGTGCTCGTGCTTAGCGTCATATCCAGAGGTTGTCTTTGGGAAATAGACGTATGAGTGCTGACAGCATTGCTGCAGAGGTTGAAGGGGTGGGGGGGTCAGCCTGTCAGTGCTCAGACCATAGGCCGCACACTGCATCAAATTGGTCTGCATGGCTGTTGTCCCAGAAGGAAGCCTCTTCTAAAGATGATGCACAAGAAAGCCCACAAACAGTTTGCTGAAGACAAGCAGACGAAGGACATCAATTACTGGAACCATGTCCTGTGGTCTGATGAGACCAAGGTATTTGGTCCAGATGGTGTCTAGCAGCAACCAGGTGAGGAGTACAAAGATAAGTGTGTCTTGCCTACAGTCAAGCATGGTGGTGGGAGTGTTAGTCTGGGGCTGCATGAGTGCTGCCGGTACAGGGGAGCTACAATTCATTGAGGAAACCATGAATGCCAACATGTACTGAGACATACTGAAGCAGAGCATGATCCTCTCCCTTCGGAGACTGGGCCGCAGGGCAGTATTCCAACATAACTCCAAACACACCTCCACGACGACCACTGCCTTGCTAAAGAAGCTGAGGGTAAAGGTGATGGATTGGCCAAGCATGTCCTTAACCTTATTGAGCATCTGTAGGGAATCCGCAAATGGAAGGTGGAAAAGCGCAAGGTCTCGAACATCCACCAGCTCCGTGATGTCATCATGGAGGAGCGGAAGAGGACTCCATTGGCAACCTGTGAAGCTCTGCTGAACTCCTTGCCCAAGAGGGTTAAGGCAGTGCTGGAAAATGATGGTGGCCACACAAAATATTGACACTTTGGGCCCAATTTGGACATATTCACTTAGGGGTGTACTTACTTTTGTTGCCAGCTGTTTAGACATTAATGGCTGTGTTGAGTTATTTTGAGGGGACAGCAAATTTACACTGTTATGTTATAAGCTGTACACTCACTACTTTACATTGTAGCAAAGTATTTTTTTCAGTGTTGTCACATGAAAAGATAGAATAAAA